ACCTTGAGATGTCTGCTCCCATCTTACCCCCCTGCCACTGAGAATACACCTTGGATGGCTCAGTGGAGAACATTCGGTTTATTCTCCTAGCTTCAACTTCTCTGGTGTACCTCTTCAGCCATGTGGCCAGGGCTGTGAGCCTTTTCTTGGCAGTCTCTAAGGCCTCAGGTAAGGACAGTGAGTTGTATTTCTTAGGTACCCCTTTCTTCATCACGCCTTTCTGCAATTCTGATAGCTGTCTAACTTCTCTCCTTGATGCCTTGATCTTGGTCTCCAATCTCATTCTCCATTGAGGATACTGCTCCTTATGGCCTTTGTTGAACTTGTAGCCAAGCATCTCAAGGATCACGGTTGCTGTGGTGTATATGAGCTTGTTGGTCTCAGTGATGATCGTAGTGGGGATTGTTCTTAGGGCTGCGTTCACATCCTCTAGTAGACTTTCAGAAGGCACTTCACTTAGTCTTGGTAACCAACTACGGGAGTTCCAGGTGTCCATCTTGCTCTTCAATCTCAGGTCAGCTACTCTTGAATCAAGCTCATCCAGGCCTGTTTCATCTGGGCCTGTTATGGGGGCTTGGTACCCAATCTCCAATTGTGGGGGTGATGATGATATCTGCCCCCTGACCTGTCATCCTGGCTCCCCTTTGCTGGAGCATTCGTGTTGTACCTCGTCAATCTCTAGTTGTGATAGGAGGTGCTTCTTGTGGATGTTATAGCACTGAGCTACTAGTTGGTTTGATGTTAGTGTAGATGTTGGGTTTCGAAGTATCCATAGGTCCCACATCCTCCGTATGTAGCCCCTCTCACTGGTGTTACTTGTATAGTAGCATTCCAATAGTTCCCTGTTCTCCTCTCTTGTCCATGGATGTCTTGTTCCAGTAGCGTGTGTGTGTGGAAAAAGTATATATTGTATTAGTTTTTTTTTATTTCATTACTTGCAATCCATTTTCTATCAACTGTCTTCTTTCCTTTACAATTTCTTAATTTTTTATTATTATTATTTTCAGTAAGTACTGAATATCAGTTTGAGGAGTTGGATGCACCCACACTCCACACTTTTACACACACAATTCTAACTTAATTTAATAATCCCTTTGTCCCCTTTATTAATGTCTGTCTCATTTGCTATGTTATGTCCT